AGTGGTTATGGTCTCCCTAAGACAGATTTCTATCGATATCTGCAACTTAGAACATTTCTGACAGGGCACAAGGAATGGGGAAAACTCATAAAAACTTCTCCTATCGAACAGTTCCTAATAGAAATACAAACAGGAAATAGAGATGAAGAGTGTCAACATCTAAAGACATTTCAGGACCAGAATCCAGTGTGACCACTAAACCATCTGCACCTGCAAGTCATCCTGCACCAATGGTTGCACAGAAACCTGTCCTCCCATCTATTCAGCAGAAGGAAAGGGCTGAGCTCCTGAAACCCTGGAGAGCTTCACCAGTGAAAAAGAAAGGGATGTCGGAAAGGACCAACACTGGGCCTTCAAAAAACAAAGTGATGGGGCCATTGACATTAGGAGCCTGACCTACTGCATCCATAGTACCTGTGCCAGAGAGCACCATTGAACCTAGGGAACCACGACCACAGAGCACCAAAACACGACAACAACCTAAGGTCCCAGGACCAGAGAACACCAGAACAGGGCTTGAAACACCTGAGATACAGGTGCCTCAGAAGGCCAGAGCCCGAAGGGTTCTGCGGTCTGAGAGGGCTAGGGCAAGACCTGTGGTCAATAGGGCAGTTGGGAGCGACCAGGATATGGCTTTTAGTAGGCAAGGCCATGTGGCAGAGTTCAAACAACTTGAGTTTCTCACAGTTGATTCATTCTACTCAGACTAGCCCACATTTAGCACATACCGATGACATCATAAGATATCAGCATCTGATTAACTCTGGGACAAAGTGACTACATTTAGTCAAATAAGTTAACATCCAACAACAACAAAGTTTCTTGTAGCTGCTTTAAATAATATCTTCCTATAAAAAACTGAAATGTTTTTATAAAAAATATATAAATAAATAAAATATTTGGCATTAATTGCACAGCTCTGCTAGATATTTAATTTTGCTGAATAAATACCATAATACAACGTATTAGACGATAGTTCCACCAGTAACATGCTTTTATGGACCTGAGGAAAAGTCCATAAGAGTCTCTGAACTCCAAAACCTTATTTAGCACCACTGTCACAGGGGTCACATGTACAGTAATGGTGCAACTGCATTATGGTGTAACTACACCCTTCAGTTCCGCTAGCTCCCTCCCTCTCTGCAAATTTAAAAAATGCATCAGAGACCTGCTAAGGACTTTAGGGGGCTCGACACCAATCAGAGTGATTGATAGACTGACCACAGCAGCTAGCAGAAACAGGTAGTCAGAGCTAATGAGCAGCTGCTGTCAGAATCTCTGTGTCTGCACTGGAAACACAAAGAGTCCGCTGGAGCTTCTACAGTCAATAGAAGCACTTTGACCAAGCCACTGCGCCAGAATAGAGAAATACTAAGTAGAAAGCATTGACAGTATATATAATGGACAGAGCTTCCAGGTTTGAAAAGTGAAGCCAACGCAGAAGTGTCTTAAAACCTGCATTCTATGTGATTTCCAGCTGGGGGAGCTCCATTGGCTGCAATAAAACACTGATCCCATTCACTTTAATGAAGAATGAGCCGACTTGACACTTAATTTATGAGCTCAGTAAACAGTTTACTGATGAGCTTAGGGTCTCAGTTGCTAGTTTCACATCTTCTTCAATACATTATGATGTTAATTTAGTAAATTATGGTCCATTTCAGAGTAAAATAGACCATAAAGTTGCATATGAGATTGTGTCCTACCAGGCGAGCCGCCATTGTTTCCTCCTCAAAACTCTGCAGCCAATGAGCATAGATCAACTCTCAGTACAACATGTCCGCTGGCTCGAGCTGGATCCGTTTTACTGTCATGTTGGCGGCCAAAACGCAAACTTGAGGCTTCAAAACGGTACTCCACAAACAATGGGTGATGTCACAATAGGTTCCCACTTGGTAGACACTGATTTTTAATATAAAGTCAATAGAGTATAGAGTAACAAAGCGTCACCCCAAACAGTCGACTCTATTTCAGTATTTGCACATTTTAACAGTAGAATTGATGTGTTTCATCACAATACAGTCATATAATTCAGTTTACAGCTTTTTAGGAGTCTGTTCACACTGATATAGGCCAATAAAAATGTTAATTTTGTGAAAAATATGGGGCATTGTAGTATCTCAATCTCAGGCTCAGTCAGTTTACAGTTTTTAAACATCATTATTGTAAAATTATAAACTAGCTCCTAAAGCTGTAATGCAGGACTTTTACATGTAAATAAACATCTGTTACTTTGAAGCTCTTGCCAAACGAGTTTACACATGCTAAGCCTATCACAAGCAGGTAAATCTCTGTATTTCGCAGAACACAGAGTTTTTAAATCTGGAGTCTGTGGTGACTTTCCTGCGCTTGAGCACCAGTATTGGTCTGTATTTCATAGTTCACCTGTTCTACAGAATTGGAAGTCTGTCCTCTAATTACTCAGAGGCCACCATCAAACTGCCTGGCCCCCAGCCTGACCATTCCCTGGAGCCGACAGCAGCGCGATGGACTACAGGAGAAAACTCCAGCCTTTATGTTGAAATAAGGGCTCAGGATTCATTGTTAGCTGAACTGTGGGTTTTGTATTGAGCACTGACTATAATACACTGTGTTTGGTTTTAAATTCAAAATGAACTGATCCTCCCAAGATAAAATCACCCATAAGAATTCATTTTTTGCCGTGGTCGTACTCTCTTTCAGGACTTCTGTGATCATAAATTGTGTCATTTTCTGGAGGGGGTTGGATGATCATGAATTACTTTTTTGGTTGGTGATTATTTTTAACTCAACATATTCCAGTGACAACCACCTTCAACACATGTTCATATTTAATGCAATTTAATCAACCCTCCCACCATCTTTAGCATTTCCAACTTCATCATCAGCGTGTGAAAACAGAAGACATTAGAAATGTTCTCGTATAATAGGTCTCAAACTAAGGCCTTTGCTCTTAGGCTGAGGTAATGACAAGGCAGAATTTCCAGAATTGTACACATAAATTGAGAACAAAAATGTAATTTACTTCTTTTTTCAGAATCTCATTTCTTTTATTTCCTGTAAAACGGCAGTTATGATCTGAAAGACACCTCACCAAATTAACATTACACTGAATAGAAGATTTTCCAACAGTCCTCCTTCTTTGCCCAATAAAATGAATCAACCTTTCATCTTACTTGGTTTACAGCTTTGAATGACCTCTTATTGTATAAAGCCCTATATCCCCTCTCAAAAGAAAATGGCTAAAATTAAAGAAAGGGTGGGGGCATCAGTAGGACTTTTAGTTGCTCAGTAAAGAACAGAGAGAATTTGAAGGTACTGATTTTCTTTTGTGATGGCACACAGAGTGCAGTGTCTCACCCGTGACTGACTTACTTAGATTTATTTTCCTGCTTTACATGCTGAGGTGAACACTGCTGTCAGAGGACTGATCTCTGATTGACCTCTCTGATTTTAGTAAACAGTCTGTGATGACAGTCACTGCTCGCTGTCTTCAAGATTTTATGTTATGTTACATCACAGGCTGTTTTACCCTCTATACTCATCATCCTACTTGTCTGTCTTTGTCCTCCCCCCCTCTCTCCCCTGCCACTACTCTTCCCCATCTCTCTCTGTCTCTCTCTTCTTTCCCCCATTCTTCATCCTCCCCTTCGGTCTCTTCATCTCTCTGAGGTTCTTGTCAGCATCGTCTCTGTGGGAGTACTACGCCTTCATGCTGGCCCTCTTTATTACACTAAACAGTTTGATCAATTATTCTATTAACTTTACTCTTTCTTTCTCTCACTGTCTCCATCTTTCCACCTTTCAGAGGACTTGGCAGCGTCCTATCCCTGGGACTGCTACGTCTTCGCCCTGGCGGTTTTCGTGACACTGACCAATCAGATTCATAAGTGGAGCCACTCCTACTTCGGCCTCCCGCGCTGGGTCACGCTGCTCCAGGATTGGCATCTGGTGTTGCCACGGAAACACCATCGCATCCACCATGTCTCGCCGCATGAGACATACTACTGCATTACTACAGGTAACACCTGGTGTTATCATGCACTAGTAAACAGAGTCTCTGCCACTTACATCAGATACATGTGTGGTAAAACGCACTATAGCTGTTCTCCAGGATGGATTTTGGCAGGTTTCAATACGTGATTAGGATTTTACTTTTAAAAACACAGTAAAAATGTGCTGTCTAGCCATGCCATTAATGCCAGTCAATCATTTATAGTGTGATCATTACTCAGCCACTCATAGAAGTGATGGCTTCAACTCTCTACTCACATTGCCTTCATTTCAAATTAGGAGCACACTGTTATTCAAGATAAGTTGATCAAAGATAAACAGATCAATGCTTTCAGAAAAACATATCGACTGGATAGGGATCATTTTACCTTGATAACAACGTGTGAGGCTGGATTAGTTAAGCCAGTGTTACTCAAACCTTTTACACAGTGTACCACCTCAGAAAATATCAGGCTCTCCAAGGACAACCATTATGACTGATGTTAAAGGACGGTACTGGAGCCGACTGTATTCAGCTAGGGACAGTTCACGCAGGAGGCAGGTTTATTCCTAATAAGAAGATTATTTATTGTTGACTGTTGTTAAATCCTGAATGGAACCAGTTCAAAAACCAGAACTATTTTGGTGGAAATGACTTAATTAATTTATGGAGATTCCTCCACATAGAACTACAGGCAGCTTGCGTACCACCAGTGGTACACGAACCATAGTTTGGGAACCAGTGAATAAATCCACATTTGAGGGATACTTATTTAAGTATTACATTCTTCTACTTTTTTTTTTTAAATATATTTTTTTAGGCTTTTATTGCCTTTAATTAATAGTGATAGCTGAAGAGTTACAAGAAAGGTGGGAGACAGAGCGGGGATGACACGCAGCAAAGGGCAAAGGTTGGAGTCAAACTCGTAGCCACTGCAGTAAGGACTTGGCCTTTGTACTACTACCATGTCCATCATCAGTGCTGTTTGTATATGAGAGGGGAGACTCTCTGTAGCCTCCCCAAAAAAGAAACATTCTTTCTTTAATTTTGCATCTATCACAGCATCAAGACACTGAATGTGTGTAACGTGATTTTTAAACGTTGTCAGATGTTAGTCAGTGTGGATGCTGTGGGCGGCCATTTTAGATCGCCATAATTGAAGCTGATGACTCCAGAATTATTTCACTTACAATTCTCGGCAGATTGGGACAAAATGGCGGCAGTGTCTGTCTGTCTGTCGGCTCCTTATAAATAACTAAAAGAAAATGTTCTGTTTGCGTGCGTGCGTGTCTTTAGAGACACAAGGCCTCCGTAATAGATCCACATTCAGTATTCTGTGTGCATCTGGGTGAGAGGGAAAGAGGGAGGGAGAGAAAAGAGGAAGGATACACAAGGGGGATACAGCTTGTACGTCACCCTGCGCCCCTGCGGACGACAGATGTGTGTGTGAGGCGAGTTGAGGGGGGTGGCACTGGGAAAGTGTGTTTGTACACGCGCACACTCATGTACATCTGCATACTCGAGCATCTGTGTGTGTACTAGTCTTTTTGACCTCCTCTTCGGTTTCTAACCTGTGTGTGTGTATGGGAGGTGGGTTGGTGGCGGTCGGGGGCCCACAGGGGACGGTGACGGCCCCCCACTCCCCCAGCCTGGCTGCCTGGGCCGGGCTTGGATTCCACTGGGGCCCGCCTAGCTGCCTTTGTGTTCGCCACCGGCTGACAATCCCCATGTATATTTAATGCTAACCTGCTGTCTGTTCTAACAAATAGGACTTCACAGGCAGGGGAAGGAGGGGAGAGAGCGGGAGGGCGAGGAGAGGGTGGGAAGGAAACAGGGATTTGGAGGGGGAAAAAAAGGAAGAGTGTGCGGCGAAAGAAAGAGAAACAGAGCGAGGAAGAAGGAGAGATGGAGGGAGAGAGTGAAATCAAACAAAACCGCTGGCTGCTTTACTACTGTCTTCTAACAGAGAGAGAGGGTCACTGGAGGGACACAAACACACACACACACACACACACCTACACAAACACACACACAGCCACACATCCCCGCAGCCATAGCATGCACCCTATGCAAACACATCATGGGTGGTGGTGTGTGAGCATCAGACAAGGGTAGCCTAAGTACACACAGCCCATGTGGATGTCTCTATTTGCTTCTTGCCTGTGTGTGTGTGTGTGTGTGTGCACCCTTATGCATCTGACATCTTTTTTATTTCTGCATTTGTGTGCTTAAAAAGTAAAAACTGCATTTGTGCAGGTGCTTTACATACGAAGTGTGTGTGTGTGTGTGTGTGTGTGTGTGTGTGTGTGTCTTTGGTAATAATAGTAAAAAGCCCTTTTATCTCAAATGTCAAGGGACAGCTCGGCTGCAGTGACGCTTGTGCATAGACACGTGTGTGTGTGTGTGTGTGTGTTGGAGCGGTACATATGCACGGAGAGATTGTACAGTCATGCATGTATGCATTTGTACATGTAAATGTACTTTGGCCTGCAGCCATTCATACATTAATGTATTTACCTAAAACATACAGCCGATTTATGGCTATTAAAATTCTGTAAACTGTAAAAGAACGAAGGATCTGGAAATGTGTGTGTGTGTGTGTGTGTGAGTGTGGGTGGGTGGGTGTGAGGAAGTGCACGTGTGTTTCTGTGTGTTAGTAGGGGCTAAGGACATCTCCTGGGAGAATCCCCTCATCCCTCCACCCCTCTGAAATGTAGTCTGAATATGATGATGAGACTGAGACAGGAGGTTAGATGTAGATAAAAGAGCTGAGGATCGGGGTGCAGGTGGGGATAAAGGAGGGAAAGTAAGAAGACAATAGAGGGAGGAGGAAGTTAAGGACAGAAGAGTGAATTCTGAGGTGAAGCAAAGAGGAGAAAAAATAGACAGTAGGAAAAGTAGTCCAGGATGTTGGGAGGGATGACAGAGGAGGGGAAAGACGGAGGTTGGAGGGGTTGGAAACGGGTCAGTATGATTCAGTGTTCAAACTGTGGGCGCTGCAGGAGCAGTGGGTGGGGCCACAGACAAAACAAATCCCTTAAGGGCTGAAAGACTATGGACTGATCCGTCTAAAACATCAGTTCATCAGTGTCATTCCATAACTGCCATCCAGTGTCACTGAGTGTTCAGCTGACAGCGCTGTCAGCAGGACAGGTGCTCCGTGGTACGCTAGGATTTTATAGGTAAACTATGAGCAAGAAGCACACTTTTACTTTCTCTGACTGTGTGGAAATCTGCTGTTTTCACACACACCACGCGAGTGGTGTTCAATTGTTGCAATCTGGAAAAAACTTCACCACTAGTTGTCACTAAATCTTACACACTGGTCCCTTTTAAACACAAAGTTTAAACAGTAAAACATGAAACTAATGTAGGGCTGATATGAAGCTTAGTGTTAAGTGGTTGACTGGAACCGGCACTAAACGGGAGTGTGAATAATATATTTCTCATATTTGTAGGTTTAGATGTATTACTAATAAGACATAAGTAATACGAGTTGAGTGTTTATTAATAAGCAATTTAATGGATTTACTTTATTTAAATTTAGAAGCTATAACTGTTCTCCAAATTCTGTATGTTCCTTTCATTTCTTGTCTTGCTTTCTCACTTCTTCCCCACTAATCCTCCCCTCATTTCTCCACCTTCCCAACTCTCTTTAACTTTTCCCCCCTCTCTTTTTCCATGTTTCCTCACAGGTTGGTGTAACTATCCACTGGACCAGCTGGGCTTTTGGAGACGGATGGAGCAATTGATCCAGCGACTTACAGGGCAGAAACCGCGATCAGATGACCTGGCGTGGGCCAAGAAGACCGACAGATAAACACACAAACGCACAAACGGAAGCATGGACAGACCAGCTTGCAGATGCAACACACACACACACACAGTTTACTCATGTCTCTGTGCTTCTTGCTTTTTTGCTAAAGAGCAAACATTCAAAGGAGGAAATCAAAGATGGTTGGACTGACTGGATGTGCTGGAGTCCGTATTCTGACAAGCTTTTAATGAAGGAGGTGAAAACATTCCGAGATGATAGCGCTCTGCTGTAGCAGCCAATCAGGTTGTAGTCCTGTTTAACCAATGAGGTGTTGTGGTGTGTAGGTGTAGGAGGTTTCTGGAGGTTGGGCTCTCCAGGAGTGACACCACGCTGCCTGTTGCAGGCAGCTTCTTACACCACACATGCACACATAAACACACACTTACACAAACAAGGTTTGAAAGTCAAATGGTTCAGTCACTGTCTTTACTGGATCTCATCCGTGTCTGTTTAGTATTACTCTAGTAAGTTCACCACCAAGGTGAAAATCTGATGATTGTGTGCTTTAAAATAAAGATGTAGACAGTTATAACTCCCCTCCTTTGTTCCTGTGCTTGAGGTAAGATGACTATAAGAAGACTGACAAACATAAAAAAAAAGGTTTGATGAAATCCATACTGTAGTTTCTATAATAACTTTTATAGCAGTAATATTATATATAAATGTCTTGCAGTTGCACACTTACACACTCTGAAATCCAAATGCACACACTCAAGTACAACAGTTTAAGATCATGTTGTCCAGTTTCGGTTAGTTGCAGCACTTTCTGTTCATCCTACGTGTGCTTTGACAGACTGTAGAAGTTTCTTGTGCAGACATTTCTCGTTGATCTTTTTGTACGGAAAGAGGCTCAGAGTAGTCCAGCTTTTTTTTGTAGCTTTAGGAATCCACTTCTATGTGTACAAAGGCTTCTAAATGAATGAATTTAATGCAAGAAATCAGTAAAATCTTTTGATTCATCTGGAAGCCACCATAAGGACGTTACATTAGAAGTTATAGTTCACGTGATTGCAGATGAGTTTAACATTTTTAGCACCAGTGATAAGTTGTAGAAAAGAAGCATTTAATCCTTTTGCACTTTAATGTTGGTTAAAAAGTCAGCCCGACTTTGTTGTCTCTTCGTATATTAAATCTTTAGTGAGAAGGAGCCCACTAAAAAAGAATGGAACAGTGCAGCCATCTTTCCCGACAGACTGAGAAGGGACACAGCGGAACTAGTAACTGGTGGTTAAGCAAGTTAAAGTAAGTGTAAAGCAGGAGGGACATTGAAGACATTGAACAAGGTTTTTCTTTTTACTTGACAATCTGGTGAAACAAAAAATCTAGCCTGGCTCTTTCCAAAGGTAACAAAATCCCCCTACCAGCACCTTTACAGCTCACTAATTAAAGCAACATTATGTAAGAATTTGTTGCAAACATCAAATACCAATCTTGTCTGCCATTAGCCAGAGAAGCTGCTGAGCCCGGTTACATTGCCAGCTCACACAGCTGGCAAGACACTCTCCTTCAGCATTCTTCAGCATTACTTACGGCACCATACACCCTATTACAACAAGAAAAAGGTAGAAAAGTTACATAATGGGGCTTTAACACATTATATTTGTTTGTTTCATCAAAACCCAAAGATTTTGTTTTCCTTAGAACAGAGCCAGGCTAGCTGTCTAGTCTTTGTGCTAAGCTAAGTGCGTAGCTTTATATTTAGTGTACAGACGAGATGAGAGTGGTGTCAGTGCTCTCACATAACTCTCAGCAAGAAAGTGAAAAAGAGTATTTCCAAAAATGTCAGATTAAAATACAAAAACTAAGATGGAATGGAGAAAGTTTGGCATGTATTTTGGATGGCACGTGGATGTTTATGAGTCTCTTTCTTCCACTTTAACATGAAGTGGCACAGACAGAAGCAGAACCTTATTGGCATCAGTGGTTTCTTGTGCCTCGCCTGCAGACAGGAATCTATCCAGCAGAAATTCAGTTTCTTGGAGGATGCTTGTGGCTGCCCCAGAGGACATAAAATGAGTCCTACATGTGTAGTTAGCATTAGCTTCTCACAACCACGCTGGACGGCTCGGGGAAAGCTTACCTGGTTATTGCCTCCAAGTCCTGCTGCTTCTCATATTCTGCACCACTAGGGATTTAAATTCAGTTTTTATTCAGTTCAGACCACTACCTAAAGCACTTCCTACTGTATCAATTTAGGAAAGCTTGGAAGTCATTTGCACCACAATACGTACAATACGTTTGCAGTCTTTCATAAACAGTGGCAGTTATTCAAACCATTTTAGAAATCTTGATTCATCTTGGTTCATGTCCCGAATCCTCTGGTAGAAAAGACAAAGAAACCTCGTCAGCAGTTCTGCAAGATGCTAATTGGTGCCGCTGTCTACCCCGCTGTGCTGCTTATTTGACTGCAACTGTAAATACTAAACACACAACAACAAGATGTGTCACGAACCTCTAAACCTAAATCAGAGAGATCCATTCAAGAAATGCATGCAACATTTTTACATCAGTTTGTGTCAGCTGGTGTGAAAGGTGGAGGAAAAAGAAAAAAAAAACTTAACTTTGTTTGCACTATAGAGAGAATAAACTAATTCTTTTTCAGCTAAATTTGGTTGCAACGTTGCTTCTAGAATGCAAATAATGTATCTCTGATTTTTGTTTCTCATGGTGACACGTGCACTTTAGTTGGCTGTTAATAACTCTGTAGTAGAGAGTCTAGCTGCTTGACTTGTAGTTTATTTCTAGGCTGTAAATCCCTTCATTCACAGAAGGTCAATAATAACAGCACTTTATTGTTTAAATGTCTAAAAATGTGTCCGGCAAGCACTAGTTCTCTCATGATCACACACACGCACACACACAGATTAAATCACACATTTCACCTGCATGCATGCACACACACAACGAATCTGACACTATCAGACAGATGCTCTTTCTCACATTGTGTTCGGTGGTTTTCTCTGGCTTTATAATTTTCTATTTTTTTATTAACGGATCAAGCCTTGTATAGTTGACTTTTGACGTTCTATTTTGCAGCTCAACGCTCGCTGCTCGTCTTGCCTTAATGTTTTTATCTGCTCTTTGATTTAAATAAAGGTTGATTAACTCCAAATCACTCAGTGTGGTCATCTTTATTATGAAAAAACATGTGTTTGGATGCTATGCAGGATGTAAGCTGCGTTGCTCAGAGGACTGAAAGGGCAGCTTTAGTGTCACATAACCTTCATGCTGTTCCAAAGACTTCCATTAGTGTCTTTAGCTTTAGTGCAGAAGTTAAAGAGGCATGTTGATCTAAGAATATGCGCAGACAAAATGAGAGCACAAAATGGGGACACATGGGTAAAGGAAGTGCACTTTTCATTAATCTAAGCATTTTTTCTGTCAGTGTTAATGCAGTCCCCGGTTCAGAAGTTTAATTTGAGAGAAATGCAACATACTGTCGGTAAAGGCCACTGCTGAACCACCAGCGCCCTCTAGTGTAAAGTTGAAGTTTCTACTTCAGTTGTATTATTCCTTTGACTACTGTATCACCCTCAGTCATGGATGAATGAATGAATGGATGGATGGATGGTTGAATGCAATGTGGAGTGCTCACCAGAGGTCAGAAGGTCACCTCGTTCTGCTCTACATCCCTGATCGGTTCAGTGAGTCTCACCATCAAGAGCTACAGCTCCCCAGAAAGCAGAGCCCCTGTTGGGGTACAGCTGCAGCAGCGGCCCCTCTGGATCCTGCTGAGAGCCAGAGGCAGGACCAGTACTGGGGAGGAGATAAGGGTAGGTAATTAGAAAGGAGAGGAGACAAGGACAGGGGAAGGGAAAAGAGGGGAGGAGGGGCAGAGACAGGTGATGAAAGTGAAGTGAAACAGAAGATTATTATATATTAATTTAATATTTCTCTGCAGTTTGTTTTTTATAGTTTAAGTCCTAGTTGAAGAGTGTGTGGACCACTGAAGGCCTGAGAAGCATTACTACTGCCCACTACTGGACTATGTGATACTATGGCAGTATGAATGCAGTATTTGTTGTTGTTGTAATTTCTACACATCTTACAAAAATTATGTTACAAATTAGTAATCTTGAATTTTGGCAGGTATATTGTTAACCATGTCTACCATAGTGCATAAGCTTTTTTCCACTATTTCGGAGTAAATAACTGAGACTTATGGAAGTGTTTAACCAAAGCATTGGACATTCTAAAATGTTGACACGATGACGGTGGAAGAAAAGTTAAGGGACCACTTAAGTTGTTAAACCTGACATTATTATTATAATCCATCCAAAGGCTACAGAGATGTTGCACTACAAACCTAAAACGTCAATCGCATGGTGGCCCTAAAGGAAAAGTCAGAGGATCACCACAGTTATTTAGATACATCCCCTGTGGACTGTGGATGTCTGTAAAAAATGTAATGGCAATGAGTTCAATAGTTATTAAGATATTTCAGTCTATAGTGGATAAGCGGACCAACCATCAGCCTGATGTTGCCATCCATAGAGCAGCGCCACTAGCAGGGCCAAATTCAATACAGTATAAATCATTAGTAAAATGATCGCGGTTCAAACATTCAGACATTAAATTAAAGGTCCAATGTGTAACATTTAGGAGGAATTATTGCCAGAAATTTTATATATTATTCATGGGCATGTTCTCATTAGTGTATAATCATCTGAAAATAAGTATTGTTGTGTTTTTGTTACCTTAGAATGAGCTGTTTTTATCAACAGAGGCGGAATCTGTCATGTTTCTACAGTAGCCC